TCATTAATGCCTCCTAATTCCACTCTCCCAGGATCTAAGTTGTTTCTTCCTCAGGTGCCTGCTTGTTACTCTCTACCTCTACAAAATCTGGGTGTCCCATTTCAGTAACTATAATGTCACTATTACCTGGTGATTCAGAAAGATTAGATGCGAGAGGGACAAGGACATTTTTGTTAACCATAACCATAATTACAGATCCCCTTTTGGCTGAGCTGCCCTCCTGGGTGGTGTATGAACCAGGCCTGCCTGCAGTTGATGTTAGGGGAAAGAAAGATGCATCATGTCCAGGGTAGAATCCTCAGTTTTCACAATGGGTCTATATATCTCTTAAGATCCTCCACTTCTCAACCCTAATCATTAGCCAGGAAGCAACTAAGAGGCCATGATCCCTTTCTGGGAACAGCCATAATCAGTGACCAAACTATCTTTAAAGTATGTAGACCAGGAGGAGATGGTGGAAGTAAAATCAGACTATCAGTGCATTGTTGAGTAGCTCTTATGATAAAAGGTGCATCGATTTCAGAGTGCATATGGTCCAGAAAGCTAAAAACATGAAACAGAGTAGTTTTTTTTTTTTTTGTCCTTTTTGTGACCGGCCACACCGCGCTCAGCCAGTGAGCGCATCGCACCGGCCATCCCTATATAGGTCTTTTGTGACCGGCCACACCGCGCTCAGCCAGTGAGCGCATCGCACCGGCCATCCCTATATAGGATCCGAACCCGTGGCGGGAGCGCTGCTGTGCTCCCAGCGCAGCACTCTCCTGAGTGCGCCACAGGCTCGGCCTGAAACAGAGTAGTTTTAAGGTCCACAATAATGTGGACATCGTGGACTGATTGGTAACCTAAAAAATTATGAATGGGTATGTTGTAATGGGACTGTACATATGTAGAGGCAGAGGGGATAGGAAATCTCTGTACTTTCCTCTCAATTTTGCTGTGAACCTAAAACTGCTCTAAAATATAAAGTCTATTTAAAAAACAAACAAAAAATGTCAGTAGTTTGAAGCTCTACTGATAGCCTGAGAAAGATATCAAAGGTCCAATGTAGTCAGTCTGACAAGAGTCAAAAGGAGCAAGGCCCAATGTGATGAGACTTCTCCCACCACACCCCCACACCCCCCCACACATGAGTCACGGAGTCACAGGTCTGGCATGCAGTGATATCCTCTGCATCACACTGGTTCAGCAGCTTGATTTCAGTCTAAATCAGTGGATGAGCCTTTATGGTGAGTATCTATATACGTGACCCAGATAATTCAATTAGCAGTTAAAATTCGTTTTCAATTTGCAGCCCCAAAGAGCATGTCTTTAATCTGTCAGTGTGTAATTTTCCAAGTGGCAAACCAAGCAGCTGGGCTATTGGCAGCAGCCCAAGAACCTGAGTTCTGCCCACTGAATGGAATAACCATGTCTGTTTTCAGTTCAGCTCTGAAGCTGAACAGCCACTGCAGCCCAGTGGATACTGCTGGCTTTCAGCTTCTCTGAACCGAGGGCCTCTTTGATCCAGTAGCTTTGCTTCAGACAGTGGAGTGGGAATAGTTTCCCTTCAGGGGGATAGCTGCCACATTATTATGTAAAGCCACGGTACTGTTGGGGCAAGGCTCCTATGTTCTTGACTATATTTCCATTTGACAAGCAAGGATTTTCTGATCCTTCCCACCTTCTTAGTTGTGGAATTTAAGTTGATCCACTCCAAAATGGAACTGTCAGGCCAGAGTCATCAGACCTTCGTGGATCAAGCATTCAGACCCCAAAGGGTGCCTCTATGTGGAGGATACTTCCCTTTACCAGAAGCTCCAACTGGCAGAATCATCAGTCACAGAGACTTGTACTGTCTTCAGTACCCAGAAGCCAATTTTGGTGGGGTTTACTAGCCAACACTGCTGGTGGAGGTATTTAGTTTAGCTAGTAATAGTATACCAATGTTCATTTTCTTTGTTTTGGTAAATGTACCATGGTTGTATAAATTAACATAGTAGAAATTGTGAAGGGTATACAGGAACCCTGTACTATCTTTGCAACTTTTCTGTAAATCTAAAATTATTCCAAATTAAAAGCTTGTTTTAAAGAGTACTCAATGGCTCTCCATAACTTCCAGCATAAAGGTTAGACTCTTGAGGATGGTATTTAAGACCCTTCACAGTTAATTCCAACCTGCCTGTTTCTTAACATTTTCTCACACTCACGTGGTACCCTAGCTATTAGTCTACCCAGTGCACTTAACAGCAGCTTGCACATACCTTCACTTCTTATGTGCTACCCTTTTTGTGTGAAATGCTGTTATCCCACCTCTTCACATGACAAGATTCTAGCCAAGCTTCAAGGCTCTGCCTCAGTCTTACCTTTTCTGTTATCTCATTCTTGATGCTTCTAACTCAGAGTTAGTCTAGGTATTTTTGTATATTCAAGGGTACTTCGAAAAGTTCATGGAAAGATTTGTATTATCTTTTGTTTTTCTATGAACTTTTTGAAGTATCCTCATATTCTGCTTAGAAATCTTCACAGTTTGGGGTTTCTGGGCAAGATGCCGGAATAGACAGTCCCCAGCATCACTCTCCCACAAATCAGCCAATTTACAACTATAAAAAAGCAACAGTAGCCAAGCTGGAGCTGCTCAGGGGAAGAGGAGGAGAAACCTACAGAGTGCACAAAGGCAGGAAAAGCCACAATGAGAGAAAGAAAAAAACCACTCCAGCCATTTTGTGCCATGGCCGCTTTAAGGCTGGAGCTGTTGAGCACACAGAACAGGAGCCAGCAAAAGCTGCAGCTGTGCCCATTGGATGAAGTTGCTTTTAGGCAGCAGGGGAGAAGAGAGCCTTGGTGGCCCCCAGGCCAGCAAGATCACTGATAGGGTTCCTATGGACCCACATAGGAGCAAGGAGCCACAACAACTGAAAAAAAGGAGCCACTCAGATGCTGGTGAGTCATCGCAAGGGACCGGCACATGGCCCATCCCATGGGAAGTGTTTCCAGCATGGGCAGTCAGGGAGCCCACAAGGGGAACACTGGAGCACAGCAATTACAGCTGACCCGCACCCCAATCAGTGAAGGACCACTCAGAGGAGCCTGTTCAGGAATATAGAATTGCATGGGGTGCAGTTTGATGAAAGACTCAGGCCAGATCAGAGTTTCTACACACCCCAGGTACACTGGGTCTCTGGAGAGCCAGAAGTACCTATAAAGTTAACCATTAAAACCCGAGCTGCACATAAAGCCTTCCCTAGGGAATCAGCAGCAAGCCAACAATTTAGCTAAACCACACAGCTCAAGTACTGGTCCCCACAGGAAGTTCCCCCGTTTTGGAAGTAAGCAAAGGACAAAAAATTAGTTCCAGTCCAGGCACACCACCAGTGTGTTAGCATGTGGAAGATATTTTCCTGAATTCTAAATGATAGTCAAGATTTTCTGTATAATTATCTAGTTTCACATTTTAACATTATATCTAGAAAGTTTTCAATTTATTTCTTATATCAGATCCATTTCCTGGAAAATAATCTAGAATTTAGCATGTGGAAGATATTTTCCTGAATTCTAAATGATAGTCAAGATTTTCTGTATAATTATCTAGTTTCACATTTTAACATTGTATCTAGAAAGTTTTCAATTTATTTCTTATATCAGATCCATTTCCTGGAAAATAATCTAGAATTTTTTTCTGAAATCTATTTCTCATAGTGCTAGCCCTCTGTCTTTGAGGCTATACCAAGCATTGATTGTTGATGCTAGTCCTTGTTTTATAGAAGGACAACCAGAGAAAAAAGGAGATTGGTTTAGATGTGTCTTTCAAATTTATTTCTATAAATGAAACTTTTTTCTGTGATGAAGCACCTTTATGCTTTATATACATTAATAGTAACTATAATAACTATTTTTATTGAATTTGTACTATATGCCAGATGCTGTGCTAAATGTGTTATCTCATTTAGCCTTCACAACAACCCTGTGAGGTAGGTGCTATTGTCCGTATTTACAGATGGTAAACCTGAGACTTAGAGATATATGTAACTTGTCTAAAGTTATGGAGATGGTTAATGTTGATCTGTGCTTTGAAACCATTCCTGACTTTGGAATACATCTTCTTAATCATTATAGTTTAATGTTATTTGTACTGTTGTAATAATAACTACCTTACCTGGTATCAGGATTTGATTACCCTACTCACAAATTAATAACTTAGTCAGTCACCATTCATGGATGTGGTGAAAGACCTGAGATTCCTGAGTCAGAGACAAAGGACTTCATTATAAACAACACAGCTAGCAACATGAGCATGTTTCTGATGCAGAGAGCCCAGAAGGAGATTCCTGAGTCAGAGACAAAGGACTTCATTATAAACAGCACAGCTAGTAGCAACATGAGCATGTTTCTGATGCAGAGAGCCCAGAAGGATGCTACACATGCTGTGGTTGTGTTTCAGGAGGGGAACACTGAGCTTGGGGAACCCACCATTTTGTAGCAAGCAGTAAAGCAAGTTTGTTCTTTGTCCCAGTGGGAGGCATTACCTCATTTCTCAAGATTGCTTACTGAAAAACCAATTCTGAGAAATGAAACAGGCAGAGAGCAATTAGGGTTTTGCATTCTTGGCATACACAGCAGAACACATAGGAGTATGAAGAAACCCATGGAAGACTGTCTCTCCTAACATCTACGGTACTTTTTATATAGAATTTTCTTAGGAAATAGTGTTTTCAACTATAAATTTTATTAAATAGAAATATTATCAAGTAAGACCCCAGCTGTGGAAAAACTAAGATGAATAATGCAATTTTTCATCATTGATTAATATGTAATATAACTTCAGTTGTGACTTTTGTTGTTTTAAAACTTCTAAATCTTATTAAAGAAATGTAAATAATTTTATGTTATTTCTATTTCATTTATTATTTAATGATTGGAATTAAAATTATAATCAATAACATGTCTATTCTTATTATTCAGAGGCATTGAAGTAATTTCATTTACCTAATGTACTTCTTGGTTTTTGTTTTTACTACCTTCAGGTGATCAAGCACGTACTTTTTTCTTACAGTCAGGTCTGCCGGCTCCTATTTTAGCTGAAATATGGTAAAGTGTTTTGTTTTGTAGATAAACTTAAATTTCTGATAGTCTGTTGTTTTTTATAATACAATGTTAACAAAAGTTTTTTTGTTGTTGTACTCTATTGTTATTAAGTAAGAATTTTTCTTAATTTTATTGAGCAAATGATTGAAAATAATTGGGGTTTTGTTCTATAAGACAAATTTCTAATCTCATTAAAATTTCTAAGGAAAGAAGATGTATACATTATCACCAAAAAATATTTCTTTTATAACTGGCAGAATCTCAAAATCTTCTTTCTCTTATTTTGTACTTATTTCATTTATTTCATCATCTATTAACCTTTCCTTCTCCTGCCCCTACCTACTTTAAAGAAATTATTCTTTATAATATCTGGGGTTTTGTTTTTTAATCTATTTACAATAAGTAACAACCCCCACTCCATCTTTCTTTCCCCTTGGAATATTCCCATGCCTGGCAGAGTGCCAAGCACATAGTAAGCATTCAATAAATATTCGAGCATAAAAATAAATTAAATTTAGAATTGTTATACTCTTGAATAATTTTTATCCACACTAGTGAAAGTCATCCCAAAGGTCTCTAGATTCTATATAGACAGTGTGTTTTATTAGATGCTATCTCTGTTCAGCATTTCTTTTAGATTTTAGATTTTTGTTGCTTATATATGTATATATGTATTTAATTAAGTGATGATGTATATGTGAATGCTATGTCATTGTTTTTGTTTTGTCAGCCTCAGAAGTAATGTTGGTTTTGTCACTATTACCCCCACATACCAATCTACCACCCCATGTTCTTTTTAGGGCTTTATCAGACCTGAACAAGGATGGGAAGATGGATCAACAGGAGTTCTCCATAGCTATGAAGCTCATCAAACTAAAGCTTCAAGGCCAACAGTTGCCTGTGGTTCTCCCTCCAATTATGAAACAACCCCCTACGTTCTCTCCATTAATTTCTGCTCGGTTTGGTATGTATCTATTAATTTAATTATTTGTATTTGATAGTTAAATTTGATTCCTATGCATAATACTTGGGGATTAGAAAAGAATTTGTTAGCATAAAATGACAATCCCCAGACTCCAAGTTAGCTTTTATGTCTGAGATAAGAAATACTAAATTTACTGTCATAGCTAGGGTGTCCATGTATCCCAGTTTTCCAGGGATGGTTCTGATGTATGTGTGTTGTCCTGGCATGTGGTCCAGTTAGTGTCCCCTTTCCTAAGTCCCATTTGGGTGATAAATTATATGGTCGCCCTGGTGAGATCCCATTTGGGTGATAAATTATATGGTCGCCCTGGTGAGAGCTGATTCTAAATAGTATTCTTAATTGGTTTACTCTATGAGTACATAAACAATGAACAATTTTAAACTCACTTTGAAATAGTTTAATTTGTGGGGTAACTTAAAATTATATAAACAGAAATTTCTCTAATTTAAAAATTAATTAGCCAGCTAAATTTAGGGCTGAAAGTTGCGACCTCGTGCTAATTAATATACATATTCATCAGAGATAACCATGTTTTTATCAGAGATAACTATGTTTTTGATTAATTTTGATTAGCCAATTTCTTACTAATTGTATATGTGAGAAGCACTCATTTTGAATGGAGCATTCAATTAGGTATCTATGTATCTGAAACATGTTTCTTCACTCCAGATGTTAGATCTTAAAACACGAAATTCTTTTAGTATTGCAGTGAGCTCTTGAGATAAATATCAAATCATTGTGTGATCATATTTATATATTATACTTAGTATTCTGCAGTTAGTAAACAAATAAAAGTCATTACTTTGTTCCTTTTAAAGAATTGTCTTTGAATTCATAGGTGTGTTACAGGAAAAGTGAAATATATGGCATGCTTTCTTACAAATAATGCATATGCATAAATTTGTCTCCTAAATTATCTACTAATCAGAACCATTTTTGTTGTCATTGTTTGGAGTGTATGTGTGTGTTAGTCAAGTAACTTAGCAGCACTGTATTTGTTATCCTTACACAAAAACCTACATTTGATTGGGTAATACATTCCCTCTTTGAGGGTACTAATGTTTAGTTGGAAAAGGCTGCTTAGTTTTATTCATGATGAGAGAAGAGAATCTTTAACTTCTTAGTAGGCATTTTCTTACTTATGCAGGTCAGAATATTAATATTAAAAGCAGTAGTTTACCTTCCTCACTGCTGGGTCAAAGCTATTTTAGTGAATTTTTTAAGGATAGTTTGCCTGTGTGTTTCAGTAAACACAGAGTCTGTTGCTCACTGTACTGTAAACTTGTTTTTTGGCATATGTGTACAAGTACTGGAAATTGTGTTCTCTTTTGTCTTTAGGAATGGGAAGCATGCCCAACCTGTCCATTCCTCAGTCATTGCCTCCAGTTGCACCTATAGCAACACCCTTGTCCTCTGCGACTTCAGGGACCAGCCTTCCTCCCTTAATGATGCCTGCTCCCCTAGTGCCTTCTGTTAGCACATCATCATTACCAAATGGAACTGCAAGTCTCATTCAGCCTTTATCCATTCCTTATTCTTCTTCAAGTAAGTGTTTTGTGTCTAATGAGTCAGTATTACATATGAAGAAAAGTGTATTTATGTCTAAATAGATACATATTTTCTTTGTACTTTATGGTATTGCTTAGTGTGAGCCTTTTTCTTTCTTTTTTTTTTTTAGCATTGCCTCATACATCATCTTACAGTCTGATGATGGGAGGATTTGGTGGTGCTAGTATACAGAAAGCCCAGTCTCTGATTGATTTAGGATCTAGTAGGTATGAATACTTAACACTTACAACTTTTTATGCTTTCAATAAGGGGTCTTTATTTAACAAATGACTTTTTTTTAAGCTCTGAGCGTATCAATATTTTACTTTGAAATTGCCAAATATAAGTATATAAGTTAAATTTACTACTTATAATTCATATAAAATAAGTTTTATTTTTAGAATTATTAAATGTCTGTGGTATTCTACTTTGAAAATACTATTTTATGTAGACTAAAAATATTCTGCTGTATCTTAGTCAATTTCTTGCCCAAAGCTATGTACTTTTTTCTTCAAAAAAAAGTATGTATTTCCCAAAATGTTTTATAGTCTTTGTGCATTGTTAATTTCTTTCTTGAGCAAAATCTTTTAAAATTTAGAAAGGACAAAAGCATCAATGTTCATTTGTTACCCCTCATATAAATCACTATTATACTGTTCAAAGCAGTGTAGAGTGTTAGCTTTCACTCAAAAGAACAACATTCATACCCCAGCTTAAACACTCACTGATTTTGTGACCTTGTTTTTCTCAACATCACTGAGCCATAATTTACCCATCTAAAAGATGGGGACAGTAATATCTTTTAACTTTGTTGGGAAGATTAGGAATAATATTTGTAAAAGCCCTAGAAACATACAAGGCCTGGCACATAGTAGGTTCATTATATATGGTAGTCCCATGGAGTTCTGTGATTCATATGGTATTTGCTTTACTAATAATAATCATAATGGCTTAAATTTAAGTTTTTAAAAAAATATTAAATGCAAAAGCAATTACCATTGTATTAATAGATATGATTCTTAACGTCTTTGTCTTATAAAGTTTAATTAAGTGTATTTTATTTAGTAACATAAAAATTTTAAATAAATTTTGTTCTAGCTCAACTTCCTCAACTGCTTCACTCTCGGGGAACTCGCCCAAGACTGGAACCTTGGAGTGGGCAGTTCCTCAGCCTTCGAGATTAAAATATCGACAAAAATTTAATAGTCTTGACAAAAGCATGAGTGGATACCTCTCAGGTAAGGAGAAATGTACTTCCACTGAAGAACTTTTATTTGAATTTGTACTTTGTAGATCATCTAAAGTTTTAACAGCCAAAAAATTTAGCAGGCATTTGATAAATATAAATATTGTAAGTTGTGTAAGAAACAGAGATGGATCCAACTTGATTGCCTTTTTCATAGTTCTTACAGTCAAGGTGAGCACACAGATATTATTGGAAGAAGACCCATCCCTTGAGAATATCAAACTTCATCCTCTAAGCTTTGTAATGAATGGAGAACCTCAAATCACAAGGGAGAGTTTGTGGAACTTAGCCTCAGCTGCTTTGCCTGAGAATCCTCGTTGGTCCTTTTCTCTGCTTGCCCTTACTAGAACCTCAGTTTAATGCTCTAATGCAAATGTGTCCATAAGACTTGACCTTAGATCCTTGTAGAACATTTGAGTCCAGGCTAGAACATTATTTAAACTTTGTTAATAGGGAATATAAGTAGAGGGTAATAGGCAAGTAGAGTTCCCACTTTCTAACTTTCCCATTCCCTCTTCACTCAGCAAGAAATTATGATTTAGGACAGGATAAAGTAAGTATTTAAAAATAACAGAGCTGATTTTTTTATGGTTCATAAGTGTGATGATTGGAGTTTCACACTATTGTGTGAGATGTGCCTCCCTCAAACCTCCTCACAATGATGTCAACACATAACCTGTCTGACATGAAAAAAGAAAAAAAAAAAGAGCTTTAAATGCTAAGGAATATAGAATGGGAGATATTAATATGAAGCAATCAGATAAAATATCTTATTGGAAGAAAGCATTTAAATGCTCCATCATGAAAGAAAAAGTTAGGATTTGAACAGATAGAGATTGAAGGTGAGGGCATTTGAGGCTGATGGAGAAGAAATCTTTAGAGCATAAAGTGCATGGCGTGTGTGGAGAATAAAAAGTCTGTGGGGAGAAGGGCGGATGAGGTCGTGTCTGCGCATCATCGGTAGGGCAGGGTTGAGTGGTGGGCACCGCTGCACAGGGGTCTGAGCCACGTCCCGGGAGTGGCGGGCGGCTTCGCCGGGGTGCTCGGAGCGGTGAGCAAACGCGCTCGGCCATGCCTCAGTTCAGCGGCCCGAACGTTCCTTATAATCGCTTTGTAATGATACTTTGAA